CCTCCCCCCCCCCTTCTCTCTTTAACCCTTTACTCAAACACGGGGCATCCTCCTCTTGTCTCTCTCTCTCCCCTTTTCTCTCAGCCTGTTGCTCTAACGCCTGAAACGTCCTCATTCCTTCTCTTCCTCCCCCTCCCCCTCCCCTGCTCTCCCCTCCCCTCCCCTCCCCTCCCCCTTGCCTTTCAGCTCTGGGCAGTGCATACGTACACACACACAAGCACACACAAGCACACACATGTACGCATGTCCATGCTACACACCCCCTTCCAGAGAGATCACATTCAGCCGCAGCACGCTCAAGCCCCTTCCTCAGGCATCTTCACGTGGTTGCTGCACAGTTAGACCCACTTTCCAGCCGTCCACCTCAGGACCAAGACGTCCCAGCTGCACATAGGTAGGAAGGAGCGGTACTTGTTTCAAATCCAGGTTCATACGCTGGTTGGTGCACAGGAAGCCCCTCACGCTGCTCAGGGTACACGGTGTTCCTTTCTCTCCTGGTGCACAGCGACTCACAGGGAGGTGTGACCGGGTTCCCATTCAAGACTTCAGCTTTTCATTTTCTAGAAACTTCATTCTCAGTAGATTTGTACACCATGTACTTTGATGAATACTGTAGTTGTATAATTTAACACTAGATGCGCATGGTTTTACTTTATTTCTGTTTTATGGTCATAATTTGTTCCTGTTGAATCTGTTGAGTTTATGCATGAGAGTTTTTTTTTTCCATGCAGAGAGTTAATTACTTGACCTTTGATGCAAATGTAATTTAGGAAGCTGCACTTTTTCTTCTTTATGGAACATGAATGAGCAGCTTGTGCTATTTCAGGAAAGAGAAGGAACACTTGTAGATGTGGAGCAGAATTATTTATAGATTACGTTGGTGAATCGTTGTTCTGCTGCCGGAGTTTTGACCTCTTCAGATTTCACTTTTAAAGTTTGAGCGAAGTGTCTTTAAATCAAAAAAATGAATAAAACAGAAACAAGACAGAGAGAAAACAAAAGAAAAGTTCTCTTCTGCCTCTACTTCAAATATTCAGCAGCTCCTCTGCAGCCTGAGGGTTTAGAAGTTCAAGCTAACACACTCAGAACTACAACTCCCATGATCCTCAGAGGCAGGGTACTGTGTGCGGAAGGTCTGAGCAGGTGTGCAGCGCTGCAGGTTTGAACCAGGTGAGACGTGGCGGCGCGTTGAAGGACCTTGACTTTGTGTTAAAGGTGATTCTGTGTTTTAGAAGCTTCAGGTTTGAACTCAGATTCTAAACTTTACGTGGACTCGTGTCAGTGATGGATTCTAATCCTGGAGACAGTAAATGATCTCTTGTGCGTCAGACGCTGAAACCAGAAGTTTGCTTCCAGATATAATTAAAACCTTAATCAAACAAAGTGAGATAGTTTTTCTCCTGCAGCTGAAATCTTCACCCGAGCCACAGAAAAGCACAGATCAGTGATTTAATGTTAAATAAACACACCTTCACGCTCCGGTGGTGAAAATGATCTTTACCTGAAAGTTTTCCAGGACGTCTGGAAGTTTAAAGTTTGAATGTGACCTTGTGGAAGTGACGCAGCTCAGTGCAGCTGAAGCTCCACGCAGCGTCACTGTGTTCGAACAAGAAGCTCGTGGACGATTTAAATGTCTTTCAGATGCTTCAAGCTCCAAACCTGAAGTTTCTGTGGATATCAGGAGTTTTCTCCTCTGACCTTGAAGCATGGCTGCCATGTGCTGGGGTGGAGGGGGGGGGGATGCAGCCTGATGCTGCCACCAGGGGGCAGACCTCCCTCCCTGGTTTTGTGTTGGAGGTGGAACTGAGAGAAGACACAAGAAAAGTTTAAGAGGAAACTTTATTGATCAGAGGCAGAAAAAAACCTCTTTCACTTATATTATATATATAAGGAGATATTTAAATAGATTTATACATATAGATGCAAATAGAGTTAGAATAAAGATGAATTAAAATGTAAAATACTATGTGCGACATATGTGTGTTTGTGTTTATATAAGATTATAACAATATTATACAATGAACTTAAATATAGATATAAATGGGTGAACTTTACAATGTGTAATATAATAATATGTGATATAATATATCACTTAAACTTTATTGGTTTTCTACGATCACATCGTTCTTTATACCTGAGCCTCGTAGAGGAACCAACCCCCCCCCCAACCTCAGTCAGGTCACTGCCCCCTCACCCTAACGCCCCTCCGCCCTCCCCTGCCCGCTCAGTGTGCTGCCCTCTCACATGCTTATCTCCTCCCACCTCCCTCCCCTCCTCGCACCAACTCATCTCCCCTGTCTCTCTGTGTCTCTGTCTCTCTGTTGGTGGCTCTGGGATCCATTGGCTCTCTGGGAGGACAGGAACCTGACAGGAACACGCACCCTCAACACCCACAGCAGCGCCACAGCCATGTCGGACTCAGAGACCGCCGCCGCCGCCCCCGCTGAGGCCCCCGTCCCTGCTGCGTGTGCCAGCATCAAGGCTGATCTGGACAAATGGTGGGTGATGGTGTGCATGTTGTCTGATGTGTGTGTGAAGTGAAGAACCTCCCCGTCATCGTGACACCAAACTTTTAGGATCCCTCTCCATCTCCGAGTGTTTCAGGTTCTCCTCCGGCTCCAGGGGTTTTCTCTCAGATATGAATTCTTCCTGAGAAGCAACCACCTGATTATTTCAATCATTTGCGAAGACGTCTCCTAACGAGCGTCGACGTCCAAGCGTCCGGCGCAAATTGGTCTAAATTCTGAGCTGAACCCTGCACAGCTCTGATGGAGGAGAGGGGGGGGGGGGTCTGCGATTAAATCAGAATACAGCAGCATCCTAGCATGCGCCACGCTAAAATGGAGTCTCTTCATTGGATGCAGCGGTTGGCGCAAAAACAGGGAGAATGAAATGTTGCATGTGAAAACGTCCCGTCGCCCGACGCAGAGGGGAAAGGTCGCAGAAACCTGGGGTGCTCCTGCAGGGAGGAGGGATTTGGGGGGTTAATGATGTGTGGCAGGAGGGTGATGTTTCATTCTCATCCGCACGCATGGATGAAGGCTGGGAATCTGCTTACGTCACGAGCCGTCCTTTCCCCAGAATGCCTTGCGTTCGCTCGGCGCGTTCGTCCCACCGCCATCTCCTGTCACCTCGCGCTGCGTCAACGAGCGGAGACGCCAGCTTTTGGGTTATTGTTCTTATGTATTCACAGCCGGAGCAGAACAACATGGA